GTGCATGGTTAGAGTTCTTCCTAATATGGAACCTCTGTTAACAATGAGTAGATTTTGAAAAACATTTCATTCACTGAGAAAGCGTATTACATAAAAAAATTTAAAAAAAAAAAGCACGGACAAGTAGAATTGATCTACAAAACAGACCAACACTTAGGACCTTCAAAATTGTGTACCTATTGGTCTTTAGTAACATTGCTACTTTTAAAATGAGCTGTAAGGAAGGTCTAGTCACCCAGAGCTGTGCTGTGTTTCTCTTTCTGACATCTAGGGAATTTGTTGTTAGGGAATTAATATCAATGATGGACTATCCTCACTCTGTGTAATTCTTTCTTGACTTCATTTCCATTGAGACATCAATATTTACAGCTACATCTTCCAGTAAAATATACAGAGCAAATGTTTACATGAGAAGTCAGCAACTCTTATGACAGTATGCCTCGTTTGTCTGGGTTGACAACTAAGAGATGGCTAGACAGTTACTCCAACAGATTGCTAACCTGTTGGGTAGTACCCCCAGTGATAATGTCATCATACATGGCCCTTAACAAATCCACAAGAACAATTGCTTTGATAATTTTAACAGTAAGCAGAAAGAAAACATGATATTGGGATGATTCAAAATTTAAGTTCCATGTTCCAAATTCAAATTCAGCAAAACAGAATTCACTTGTGCAGACTAACAATGGAAAACTATCTTTGAGAACTCACATCATCAAAGAAAATTCTAATGAAACAATGATTTTTAAAAATATAGGTCATTAGAGAAATGAAACAAATGTGCTCTTATTAAGCTTTTACCTCACCTTATTGTTGAAAACATGAAATTGCAGAGAGTTACATTATATCATTCTTATAAAATATTAGTTGTTGAAGAGCTAGTCTCCAGCAAGCATTTAACGTGATTTTTTTTTTCCTATTCATTCAAATCCAAAGTAGTGCTCATCTAAACTTTCTCGGTTAATCACTGTTAGAATAAATCTGAGTCTACACGATGCCCAATATTTCATAACCAGCTTGGGGCTTGTTCACCTTCAGGTCACTTATTCCCTTTCTGTGCCTGTGAGCACAGAAATACAAAATCATTGTCTGCAAAGATTGCAAAGAATTTAAAAAGGAAAGCAAGAGCTTTTATTTTAGAGTCTGGACTGAAAAGCCCATGGAGTTCTAGCAGCTGCCTTGCCTCCCTCCTCCCGTTCTAGTAGAGAAATAAGTTGCTGGTGAAGGTTTGGCAAACACATTCCACCTGAAAAGCAGCCCCAAGAAGCATGGCAATGGCACAAAGTGCTCTGGAAGCAGAGAGGAGCGCCTACTTGTGGAGTAGCTAAGGAAGTACCACCAAGGACATGTCCCTTGGACTGACTCCAGAAGAGCCAGGATGAGTTCCTGAGGAAAGCCAGGGGTGGGAGAGATTCAGCGGAGTAAGGACAATGCACCTTGTTAGTGAGAGACTGAAGACAATTTTTAAAAAACTCTAGTACACTGGCAGGGCTGCGTGTGACTTGGAAAGGAGATTATCTGAGAACTGTGACCAGATATGGAGCCAGGAGCCCAATGATGAAGGAGGCTCTTTGCTCTACTAAGAAGTGTGGTGGTGGGTCTCCAGCCAAGAAAACATTCTGAACATTCTGAGCAAGGGAATAGCACTGACGGGTTTACAGTTTGGAAAGAGCACACTGGCAGCCATTGGGGGAGAATGGATTCCAGGGAGAGGCAAGATGGGAGGTAGGGAAACCACTTAGGAGTATAGGGAAAGATAAGAAGGCATGATAGGGAGGGATGGGGAGTTGGGGAAAGAGAGGGATGACATCAAGATTTCTGGCTGAGTGACTGGTTAATTTGCTGATGAAAGGCATGGAAAGATGGAGGTGAGATAAGGAGGGGAGTCATAGTAAGCTCATTTATTATGGACATGGTCATAGGTCTTGGATTAATGGCTGTCAAGGACAGAGGTCAAGCTTTGCAAGGGACTGGGAAATTAGGAGTATTTGGGAGTTGGAGCATTTCTGAGTTTCCAGCCCTGAAATCCTATTCTCCTCTGAGAATAGCACAATCCTGAAATTCTCTTCAGAGAATAACACAATCTCTCTGACAAATGCCCACTTCAGGAAGTCTGAACTCAGCAGCAACCTGTGTGAAGTGATTTGGTGACACGATATAGTTCCTCCTCACAATTATAATCAGTGAGTTAGTTGTCACCACAGCCCTATGCCAACATTCAAAATCAATGGGATCAGATTTATTGTCCTCTTTTTGTTAGATGCTGCAAGGGAAATTCATTTTAGATGTGAAATAATTTCAGTTCAAGGTAGAAAGGTAAGATAGGCCAAAAAAAAGGGGGGTGGGATGGTAGTGAGAGAGATTTCTCACTAAGGTCAGGAAATGGGTTAGTAGGAAGACAGTGAACTCAGTTTTAGACTTGATACAGTTCAAGATGATGACAGAAGATGAAATAGAAATACAAATAAGAAATGTGCTTGGGAGGATTGGGGCTGAAAGCAAAGACAGGATTCGTTCCAATGATTTTGGTTACTGAAGCTCAGAGTCAGGGAAGGGTGAAGAGGGATGACTGTGCCTGCAGCAGATCCCAGGGGCGTAAGCCTTGGCACACACCCACCTATGGGCTGCAAAAGGGCAGGGGCAAGCCATAGAGGCTAATGGTAGGACAAGAATGGTATCGAAATTCTGTTACTGAACATGGGAAGAGAGTGTTCAAGGAATGGGTGTTGACCGGACTGGCTCCAAAATCATTTTGGCTGGCCCCAAAATGATCATCAAGTTTAATGAGTTGGTCATGGGAGCTTTTCCTCAGAGTATGAGTTTCAGTAGGATAAAGAATTAGGGAGTGAGACTTTCGGTCATTGAGGATGAGGAGAAAGAGGAGCAGTGATGATAACAACAGTTGGCATGTTTTGGGTGCTTCCTACATTACATGCCTCTAAGCACTTTGTGCATGTTATTTTATTTAATCCTCACAGTAATGTAGGGGCACACCAATATTATTATTTATATGATGCATACTGATACTATTATGTATCAGTATGTATGTATATACACTAGTTCTGAATCTGCAGTTTCGACCAACTGTGGATCAAAACTATTCAAAAAAAAAGTTGCATCTGTACTGAATCTGTACAGACTTTTTCTTATTATTATTCCTTAACCAGTACAGTACAAACAACTGTCTACATTGCATTTAGACTGTATTGGTATTACAGATGCATTAAAGTATAGGGAAAGGGACGGGATATAAATTCAGTGGTAGAGTGGTTGCCTAGCATGTGTGAGACCCTGGAATCTATCCCTGGTACCACAAAAACAACCAACCTACCAAAAAACAAAGCATTTTTAGAAAGCATAGCAGAGGGTGTGCATGGCTTACCTGTACACGCCATGCTATTTTTAGAAGGGACTTGAGCATCCTTAGATTTTTGGAACCAATCCCCACAGAAGCTGAGAGGTGGTTATGTTGGAAAACAAAGACAATGAGTGCAGACGATTCTCTTGAAACATCTTACAATGATGGAGTGGAGATGCTTAGCAGGTGAAGACAAGACTAAGTGAAAGCTTTTCCAAGCAACGGCAGTGTTTATGAAAGTGAGGAGAAAGCCAGGAGAGGAATAATGGAAGATTCTGGAGAGGACACCAAGTGGGACTGGGACAGAAGAACCAGTCGGGTTGGGAAAAGGAGTCCAGCCTTGAAAACAGAAGGGTGACTTTTTTGAGTTGAAAAAAATTAAGAAAACTCACATTTTGCAATACAAAGTAAGACAGTCTGAATTTGTACTTGATAACAACATCAGTGTTGGAAAATTAGAAAAAGTCAGTCAGCTACTGAAAATTGTTGAATATATCTTCTTTTCTTCCAGAAAATTTCTTCAAATTGGCTTTAAAAACTTTAAAAGAGAGAATCTCAGTTTTATTCACTCCTCCAAAAGTAAATTCTACCATATGAGGTTTAACTTGTCATTTCCTTTATTGTTTGTTACCTGGTTTCATTAGTTTTAACATAAAAGCAGACTCTTCTTTACACATATTAGCATTTTCTTAGTTGTTTCTGTGGAAACCTTTATTTTGGGGACTGTTAAGTTCAGCAGCGGAGAGAGCAGAGTCTGGTGACTGGATTTGTGCAACAAGACTGTAAACAAAGAGAGTGGGAAAGAAAGAAGTGTAAAGAAAATTAATTACCGTAAGAAAAAAGAACAACTGCATCTGGAAGTCCATTGTAACTAGACATCCCTTTTATGAGAACATTTTTTGTTAATGGAAAGAAAGACACAGGGTCATTGAAATCGAGTTTACAGGGAACAAAATGAACTGCATCAGTTAGTCATTTGGAGCAGTATTGTCATTTAGGACCGTGAGTGGCTACAACTTGGTGACACAGAATTTTTTCCATGAGTCACTGGGATGGATTGGCTACCCTGATGAAGTCACTAGATTCTCTCCTGGGTTCATGGGAATGCCATGTAGATATTCAGGGTTATATACAGGGTTGAGTAAACCATTACTTCTTCCTGCCCACAACTCTGCAGTCAGAACTGTTACAAGCATTTACTGCCACTAATAGGTGATAATACTTCTACTTCTGATTAGAACTTTTACTGCCACTAATAGGTGATAATACTTCTACTTCTGATTAGAACTGTCCTTGGAAAGCAGGAGTTGAAAACATTTAAGAAAATCCAACCATGGCGATGGTAGCAGTCGTTTCAGTATGAAACATTTCCTGAGGAAAAGTAAATGTTTTCTCATAGAAATGAACATTTTCACTACTAAACCATTTTCATCAAAATATTTTATTAATACGTAAAGTGTTTTCAAAGTTCTTCCTGTGTCATCATGATCATCTCAAATGTTTTCAAAGTTCTTTCTGTGTAGACATGATCATCTCGTACTAATCAGGGTGTGTTGAGTGCCTCTGTTTATTTATTAATATCTGGTGTTTGGTTTGTCGGCCTGTGTTTGTTCTGTGTCTGATGTTAATGTCTTTTTTACAGATATTGATGAATGTGTAAACAACACTGTGTGTGACAGTCACGGGTTTTGTGACAATACAGCTGGCTCCTTCCGCTGCCTCTGTTATCAGGGCTTTCGAGCCCCACAGGATGGGCAAGGGTGTGTGGGTGAGTTTTTAGATTTTTTTCCCAACATGTTTTACATGTTCCTTTCAAAAAGAAATCCAAGTTATCAATAGTCGGAGATTTTAAGCAGAAAACTTGGGCAGAATGTCATCATGCTTAGATTTCATCATGTAATTTGAGATTGTGCAAATTATATGTCCTATGGCTTCTGAAATGGATAGGTACATTAAGAAAATGGAAATATGGGTTTAAATTAAAATGTATTTTTAATATGACATCTGTTTAAGTTCTTAGCTGAGTATGTAGAGCCCTTAGACTCTCTTCTATAGGAAACAGAGTCTGCTGTGTGGTATAACTTGTCGGTCTTCAAAATGCACCTCCTAGGCTGTGCATTGAAGAAAAATATTGCCAAGAGCTTCAGTTTCCAGGAATGACAACGGTAAAGTGATGCTTTGGCCTGTATTTCTCCTGTTTGTTCTGCAACTGATGGGACTGGAAAGAAACCCATGCTCATAGAGAGGATATTTTGTGTTTCATTTTCTGATCAGCTGGGATTTTGTCAACTCATATTCATTATGAAACACACTTGCAATTAGAGCAATTTTCTGGGAAAGAGAGAAAAGTTTATAAAATTGAAACTTCACAGATAACAAGGCTTTTTCTTTAGTCTTCTTAACAGAGGAAAAGAGTGGTGTTGGCTATAAGGCAGGTGGCACTTGAGATGACAATTTCAAGCTGATAACTTGTTGGTTAGAAAATTTGCAAGTAAAGCATTAGTTCCTTTGCCATCCAGATAAAAATGGGGTAGCAAAATCTATTCTGAGGTTTGCTAATATCACTTGACTATTAAATGCTTTTCTGGGACTGATTATGAAATTTAGTTAATTCCCAGTTACAAGTTCTTTAAAGTAGCAATATAGTATGGAGCTTAAATAGCGACTAATCAGAGACACATATAATTATTCAAGAATTATTCATTTAAAGTAGTTGTTAATACAACTAAGATTATCCTAATGTATAGTGCCAATTCCCACCAAAATTCAAGTGATAAAAACTGCCTGACACTTCCATTTTGACTTAATATGTCCTGATTTGCCCCTTCTTATTTCTTTAGCTCCACCATGTCCTTCCTTCCTTTACAATTCCAGCACCATCAGATTTCATGGGGTTGCTTCTGTCACTGTGCAGTCACTTGCTGTCATTTGCATCTTCTGCTGGGAATATCCTCCCTACTGCTCCTTCCCTGAGCCTGGGTTCTTCCCACTCATTCTTGAAGACTGAAGTTAGGTGACATCTCCCAGATGTTCCCTGCTCCTTCTCTCACTCTCAAGCTGAGCTGTGACCCTCCCCCTGCATCCAGAACACCTTCAGCAAGTTCTTTTACAGTCCTTAGAACCTGATGGGAAATAATTTAATGTGTGCATGTCCTACCTGCCTACAGCCCTCCTTTCCAAGGTCACAACCTTCATGTGATTGGGAACTTTCCCCTGGGGTAGGCACATTTTTTGGCCTATTATCAGTGCTCAGCAAATTCTATTTAATTATTAATGGCTGAAATATCAGCTGTTGAACCACTAGATATTGACTCTACACAACTTCTGCACCTCTGCTCAACACTTCTATCCAGCCAGTTAAGTGTGCTGACCCTGTTGATATTTCAGATAGGCACACACACAAAACACCACCCTTAGAGAAGAGATACTTGTTGTCATTTTGGTGAACTCAACGGATGTCATTTTATTTATCTTTTTATCATTCTTTCAAAAATATTAGCTGAGTGCCTATTATATGTACTTCACACTGTGTTTTACAGCATCTTAGAGATGAGCCAGCCATGGTGCCACTCTTTGGCTGAGCTTGGTCTTGAATATAATCCAATACATGCTCATAGAGAAGGTATTTTGTATTTCATTTTCTGATCAGCTGTGATTTCTTCAAATCAAATTCACCCCTCATTACCACCTGCTCATCCTTCAGGTCTAGACTCAAATATTATTTCTCTAGTTCACCACTGCATGAAAAGACCACTGGCCCATGGTTCAACAGAGCTCTGTACCTTTCATTCTCAGTACTACAGAAGTCTGCGAGATTTTCTTACTGATTTCCCTGACTTGACTCTAAGTTCTATGAAGATGGGTATTGGGCTTGTCCAACTCGCTGTTGTTTCCCCACATATGGTCTGGTCTATATAAGTAATCTAGGAAATAGTTCTTGATTAAATGAATGCAGTCTGGTGGAGAGAATTCAATAACCATGTAAATAATAGGAGTTGGAAAGTAGAACGTTTCATATGTCATTTACCTAAAATTGATAAATGTGAACTGGCAAATTTCTAAAATCAACTTTTCTGGTCTAAATTATGACTGTCAATGTTGATTAAACATTCCATTTCTGCTTTACATTATGTTACAATATTTTTTATAACTGAAAACCAGCTCATTGAGTTTATATCTGTTTATATACGGTGAAATGGGAAACTGAGGTAACTGTCCAAATAAGTCAAGATTTATAAACTTTTTGTCCAATGAACTAGGTATATCAGGTTAAAATAGGATGTTTTTTCCCTGAATGAGCCAGATAATTGCTCAAATTTTTAACTTTGTGTAAACCATCTGAGTGTCTTCACGAAAGCTGGTATTTGTGCATGTTTAATTCTTAAGACCCAAGAACATTTCAAATGCCAAGTCAGGTACTTTGCCAAACAGGGAAGTCATTAATAAAATTTTTTAGGAGGAGAAAAGGTAAAAAGAACCGTTGGGTGATGTCAAATATACAATAAGCCTTTCTTTAGGGCTGTGCACTTATGCAATATTAAATAAGACATTCTCATCAAGGGGATTCCTTCACTGTGTTTTAATTCTATATATTTAAGCCCAGAAGAAAAACATTTAGCAAAATAAAAATCTTACTGTGGACACCAACAGAATTTGATTATCAATAATGAAAGAATTTCATTATCATAATGAAATGAATGATTCGTTTTTGGACCAGTTTGATTCACATGAATGATTAATGTATCTGATGAATACTTACAGCAGTCTTGCCCTTACAACTCAAATTCTATTGTTAGGTACTTTTGAGCTGCTAGAGGACTGTGTTGTCAGACATTCGAGTATGTTTTCAAAGTTTTTTTCCATGGTTGCAGAAGTACCCATCTTTTGAACTTTTCTTTGAATTAAGAACTGAGAGTGGAGGGTTGGGTCATTTATGACTTCAATATGTTGAAAAGTGAGCGAAAACAAAACATTATGGTAAAAGAGTCATGCTATGCTTCTAGGAAAATTCCAGGGTGTTCATTAAACTGGAGTTGGGATTTAGAACCTTTGCTTTGTGTTTTCATACAAAGCAAGTGGTAGGGCTCTGCCTTTAGGGACCCTCCCTAGAAGAGCAGTAGTTTGATGGCTCTCTGGGACCACCTCATTTCCATCAGACACTACTGGCCATGGCACAGCTGGTAAAACAAAGAACTGTCAGGAGCGAGGCACACTTCTCACTTGACATGTGCTCCCTTTTCCAGATGTGAACGAATGTGAACTGCTCAGTGGCGTGTGTGGGGAAGCCTTCTGTGAAAATGTGGAAGGGTCCTTCCTGTGTGTGTGTGCTGATGAAAACCAGGAGTACAGCCCCATGACGGGGCAGTGCCGCTCCCGGACCCCTGAAGGTAAGTGCCAGCAGCACTTTGCAGGGGTGTGGGGCTCTTCTCAGGGTCTACCCAGGCTTGGGCTAAGCACTCTGGAAGTGAGGTAAAAACCAGTCAAATGTCCTGGCTCAATTCTGCCTCTGGAAGCTTCCATGTGCCTGCCTTGTTAGTGGACTTAGGGGCAGAGGGACAACTGTTTGGGTGAGGTGGCCACGAGTGAAGGATGCAGAATTCTGAGCGCAGTGCTGGGCGTGGCCTGAAACTCAGAGCGCTATCAGCTGGGGTTTAATATACATCTTCTCATTAAATCGCGTAATCTCACCTTCTTAGCCCTTGGAGAAATACATCTTGACACTTCTCTAAATTAAAAGCAACACGTAGGTCTCTCAGGGACCACAAAACCTTCCACTTGGAATTCTTAAGGTGGTTTTTTTTTTTTTTCCTCAGAATTTGGCCTAGAGACTTGCCATGTTTGCACTCATTTAAAATTTGATTTAAGCTGTGTTGTTGCTGCAGAAATTGAAAAGGAGAACAGACAATTTTCCAGGTCAATTAATCAACTTCCAGATCATGGATCACCCTTTTAAGCTGTGCCATGTACCTACAATTCTGTTGTAGTTTAAGAAAAGCAAAAGACCAAATGGTCCTCTGAGAACCAAATACAATGAAACATAGAGCATTTTACTTTCTTCCTAAATCTCAGTCAGGTTTATCCACATTTCCGTAATAATTTTCACTATTCCTCAATAGGGGATGCTTATTCTGTATACAATAATTTTTGCAAGTAGTGGGGAATAAAACCTAAAAGCATTTTTACCCGTGCATTTTTTTCCATTATGAAGTACAGAGAGGCAAGGGGTGTGGCACAGAGTGAAAGACAGTAATTCAAACACACCATCTCTGAAGGCTGTTAGTGAGAAAGCTTACTATTCACTCAGTGGCCACCACCGTGATACCTGTGCCATAAAGAAAAGATTTTTTCATCCTAGCTGTACCTACAGTAGCAAAAAACAGCATGAAAACCTGCTTGTCCTCACTTAACTGCCTAAGTTACTGCCTTTTTTGTCTTCATCCTCAGTTCCACAGAGGTGCTCCTCACCCGTAATGCTATTTTGAATGAATTAATGTATTGTAGTACCATTAAATGATCCTCAGGGAGAAGGGGTGGACCTCATAAAGACAGAGCCCTATGATACAATGTTAAGGGAAAAAAGCAAGAGATTCTCCTTTGCAGAGGGAGGGAGAGTGAGAATATTTAAGAGGATAATTGTAGTTCTTCATGGAAATTTGAGGGTTTTTTCTTTACTTTCCAAACTTTGTAACTTTAAATGGGAAGACCATGTTTGAGTGCATTCACCTCTTTCTAGTTGAATAAACTCAGGCACCTCAACAACTGAGTTTTGTTTCCTCATCTGTAAAATAGAAAAGTTTCATTTACTTCACAGTTTTATGAAACTGTGTATGTGAAGTCATTTGTTAATGGCAAAGAATGAAGTATTACAATATGAAGTGTTATAGTAAGCCATGTCCAAGACACGTAAGGGATATAGTAGGGTTGCCTTCAGGCCTTCACGCTTCTTGGGCGTGTTTTTGAGATAGGGCCTGGCTGTGTGCCTGAGTGGACCTGGTCCATGACCCTCCTGTTTACACTTCCTGAGTAGCTAGGGTGACCATGCCCACCTGTTTCGTTGAGATGGAGTCTTGCAAACTTTTTGTCTGGGCTGGCCTGGCCTGGAACTGCAATCCTCCTAATCTCCACCTCCCAAGTAACTAGGATTACAGACTTGAGCCACTGCACCTGGCTTGGATCTTTTAACCATAGCTATTTTTGCTAGAATATTTTAGTAGCACTAAGAAATGGTCTTTTGGGTCACATGGGTGCATGTCTAGGATCCTGAAGTTTGCTGATTCTTTTACTAAGATTAATAATGCCTTAACAGGACTATGAGATAGTAGGAACCGTATTTACTGAACTGAACTAACTCACTGTAAACTGTACGATATTACTTCCCAGAATGTTATAATGCCTCTTCTGTAAACCTCGCTCTTCTTTCCCTACTTGTAAAGGTTTTCTATAACCAAGTTGCTAATACCTGCTTTGCCTTTTTCCACCTTTAGTTTACTTGCTCTCTCATTAGCTCTCTCTCTTTCTGGAAGGTTCTTTCAGTGAGAGTTCATTTAGTACCTTCCTTCTGCTTTTTTTTCCAGAGAAAACACACATGCACATTTACATGCATACATCCCCCCCCATATATATATGTGTATATTAATATATGGTATGTGTGTGGTTCTGGGGTTTGAACTCAGGGCCTTGCACTTGCTAGGCAGGCACTCTACCAATTAAGCCACACCCCCAGCCCTTTTTGCTTTAGTTATTTTTTGGATAGGTCTTTACGTTTTTGTCTGGGGCCAGCCATGAACCATGATCCTCCTACCTATGCCTCCCACCTAGCTGGGATCATAGGCATGTGACTTGTTGGTTGAGATGGGGTCTCACTAACTTTTTGGCTGGCTAGCCTCGATCTGTGATCCTCCTGGTCTCCACCTCCTGTATAGCTGGAATTACAGGTGTGTGCCACCACACTGGCTTTATAGAGAGCATCATTTTTCATTCCTTGCCTTGCAAAGCCTTTCTGCCTGTGAATATGTACTTTCTCTTTCCTCTTACTATATTTCATCCTTAAATTTCTGTGGTTTTTGTATACTTTTCTGGCATCTACTAAATGCTGTTGGTCCTTTTCTGTATGATATGACTCATCCAATAACTGGCTGAACTTACTGATTTGTACAGTTCTTGGCAACTTTGACTTCTATGAAACCTCGGTTTGTGTAGTTCTTGGCAAATTTTGGTTATATGGAATCTTAAGACTGTCTCATGACCCAGGCGTGGTGGCACATGCTTGTAATCCCAGCACTCAGTACTCTAAAGTAGGAGGATCACTAGTTCAAGGCCAGCTTATAGTGAGACCTAGTCTCAAAACAAAACAACAACAAAAAGATGACTGTCTTCATGACGGAATTTTACACAGTTCCCTAGTAGTATTATGATACAGTTTAGCTATAATCTACAGCAAGGACCTTTTACCTGACCTCATTAGAGCCAGTGCTTGATCAGTTATTTGAAAAAGATGATTAAACCAGGTGTGGTGGGGTTACAGGCCTGTAATCCCAGCTCTCAGGAGGCGGAAGGAGGAGGATTATGAGTTCGAGGCCAGCTTGGGCTTCTATGAGAACCTGTCTCAAAAAACAGCAACAACAAAAAAGGTGATTGAAACTAGAAATCATAAAGAGATTTTTAAGTATTTAAAATATATATTAAGTAAGATATGTTGGCTTACACCTGTGATCCAGCTATGTGGGATGCTGTAAAGTGGGAGGCTGTAGGTAGGAGGATGACGGTTTGAGACCAGCCTTGGACCAAAAAAAATGCAAGACTCTACCTGAAAAATAATTAATACACAAAAGGACAGGGGTGTGGCTCAGCTGGTGGAGCAGAGAGAGAAGGGAAGTGAAGAAGGAAGAAAGGAGAGAAAAGGAAGCTCTGCATGGCTTGTCTTGCAGAAAGCCCAGCTCTTAAGCAGTCTTCACTGCCTAATTTAAAGGGAATAGCATTTAAAGTCCATCACAAAGCAAATGAGTGCAGAGTCACTCTAGACTCAGTCCTCACAGTTCTATACTGATTTCTCATCCACACCTAAATTAGTAATATTCTTTGTTTACCTTATCTACTTTATCTTATCTTTCTAAAGTCCTTGCTCTAGAAACAAATCATATTTTACTGGTTTAACATAGTGGTTAATTAAATTACATAAGTACTGTAATCAGTACACTGGCCCAGAATGTTTGAGAGTAAACATAGCTGTCTTGGTTGGGGTGTGGCCCTTCGAAAGAATCAGACTGACTGTGAGCATCCCCCCTGCTGTGGGAGTCAGCTGGATGGTTTTCAGAGGCCAAGAGAATACCATTTAACTCAACAAGTTGGCTAAACAGAGATCAGTTAAAAGAGCTTGTGGCCAGGCACAGTGGCTCACACCTGTAATGCCAGCTACAGGAGGTGGAGATCAAGAGGACTGCAGTTCAAGGTCAGTCAGGAAAAATGATTAGTGAGACCCCATCTAAACAAATAAGTTGGGCACGATGGTGTGTGTCTGTGATCCCAGCTACATGGAAGGCTGTAAAAAGAAGGATTATAGTTCGAGGCTGGCAACAAGATCCTATCCAAAAATAACTAAAGCAAGAAAGGGCTGGGGGCATGGCTCAAGTGGTAGAGCACCTGCCTAGCAAACAGGAGGCTCTGAATTTAAACCCTAATATAAAGAGTTTGTACCATTCCCAGTTAAAGAATCTACTGTTACATAAAACACAATACTTTGTACCAAGTTCAAACATTTTTAAGTAGGACTCAAATTAACTTCATTATAAGCATGATATACTAATAACTAAGGTTCCATCCTTCCTAAGAAGTAATTAGGAGAGGAAGGACAGAGTTGTAGTGCAGCCTGGGACATTTTTGTTCAGGTGTACGGTTACCCAGGACAATCATATTCCAACCATGAGCAGTAGCAAAAATCACCCGATGTCACATCACTGTGTGGGCTAAGAGAGATGTCCAGAGGACTAACAGCTAACCAAAGTGGTCAGCACATGGCTGTCTCATGACCAGGGGTGTCCCCAGAGTATCAAACACAGGCGGGGACACCCACTTCCAGCCATGGGCACCCACTTCCGGTAGGATCCTGTCACAGATTGCTCTGAGCTCTAACATCCTAGGATTTTTATTTCTCAGCTGCTTCTTGGCTCTCACATAACCTTTTTAGGTCTAGTCTAATATTTTTTCACAGCCTGGGCCTTTGGCCATTAATTTACATTAGTGTACATTGACGAAAAGCATCTGAAACAGAATTAACTGAAAGTGTCCATACCGGGCCATTCATCACATTTCAGAGGATATGAATATGAAATACAATCTGATGCTTTTATTTCCTTAATGCCTGTGATAATTGCTCAATAAAAACTTTATG